ATTATGGGAGGACAAAGAGTTGCAACTCCTAGCTTTTGCCTATTTGTGCGCTAAGTGTCGCGGTAGAATTCTGAGAGATGCCAGAATCAGAACATGTAGGAATGCTTGTTCGCGCTGTACATCTGCTTGAAAGTCCATAAATTAAGCTTATCATATCAAAGTTTGCAATTTTTTGCAGGTCGCTTCGAGGGCGGCGGACGAATGGAAGTATCGGACGTTGAGTTTGCGAAGGAATTTAGCTCGGAGAAAAAGAAAAATCGAACCGGTCGCAAGCGGCCATTTAATAGTGATACTGAGGAAGATGAAGAAGATGGCAATACACCAGATCAGGACGAAGAGCGTGAAGACTGGAGCGAAGATGCCATCGATGAGGAAGTAGGCATATGTATTGTTTCTTTACTATAAAACCCTCCAAAAGGTGGAATCCTAAAAGTGTCGGAAGTCTTGGTGTTTATATATAACAGTGTGGTTACTCCCAATTTTCTCGACTGCATTTTAATACAGCGCCAAAAGATGTAGTATCAGTTAAAAATAATCAGACCTTCAAAATTTTGGTTAAATTTTACATTACTGGAAAATCTTCCCCGTTGTTCATAGTTATTGGACAAAAATCTGCCCTCATTTGCCATCCAAGACCAGACTGGGTATCGAACACCACAGGCTGACTGATCAACGAGCAGTCGTGTATGGAGATTGGAAATTTCAGGAGGAACGAGATGATGACGATGAAGATATTGATGATGAAGATGGTGATGATGATAATAGCGAAGGCAGTGAGGATGACTTTGACGTGCGAAGGGATAAAAATGGTGATAGTAGTGATGGTAATTCAGATGAAGATTTTGCTGGAAGGCTTGATTTTGTAGAAGATGCGGAGCGAAGCGCTGATAAGGTTTCCTTTTTCGATTTCTGAGCCCTCTTATTCTCGTCTTTGGGCATTTTTGAGAAGCTTGATTATGCGCTTGGAACGACTGATGCAAAAAGGCCTTGAGGACTCGCCAGTGGAACGAGATATAGGATGAAATAAATTCTTTATTTTTTTACTTCTGTGCGAAACAACATATAGAACTTTTTTCAGATTTACCCAACACTTCCAAATTTGTACCATTTATTTTCACACTCTAGTCGTAAGCATAAAAAATTTTTCATTTCTTTTGTTTCCAGTACGAATTTACTCTCAGACCTACTTCCTTCGCTCGCTGAACTCAATGCGTTTATCTTGCGTAGGCTACTTGTACTAGAAACCTTTATAACCCAGTCTGCGAAATACCACCCTGAAATAAGCTTTTTTGTATGGGATTCTTAACATTTTGCGCCTGTCAGTTGGTATATTGAATGAATTGAAAAAAGCCTATATCTGCTTCTCGAAGAATTTTGCGTTTTCTGGGCGGACATGTCAATCTTGGTGAGAAATTGTGACTTCTTTATGAAAACCATAAGCACATTAATTTGCAGTTTGCTGCTGCGCTAGAAGAAGAAGGAGATGAATCAACAAAGAAGAAAAAGAAAAGCAAAAAAAAGAGGTACCAGCATTTCAAAAATCGAAGAAAACATTAATATACGCGTTAAATCTTGATTTGTTTACAATAAAATTTGAGTTGTTGTTTGTTGTGTCGTAGTGATTTTGAACCCAGGCTGGAACGCACCAGGCGGGCCGGTGCGATTATGCGTTTTTGCACTTTTCGTAC